TGCTATTATGTTACCCAGGACGGCCGTGGACCCACCTTCAAGCAAGCTAAACGCTTTCTAAAAGTCACCTTGATCCCGGTGACTCTTCGCAGCAACAGAAAAGTAACTACGGCCCAGTGCCGGAGAGAAAAGCCACATACCTCCTGAGGGTAATGAGAAAAAGAAATGAAAATGAAAGATTCCTAACCTTCATCAGAGACTACCACCTGACTCTTCCTATTTTGCTCTGAACATCATCCAAAGATAAAAAGAAAACTTTTAGGCCCCTCCATTGGGAATACTCCACAAGGGGGTGAAATGTGGTCTGAGTAGTTAGCCAAAAAATAACCAGATGGGCAGAACACGCTAAGCTGAGCGAGAAGCACGAAAAGGGTCCAAGGGCCGAAGGGGTGGGGAGGAGGAGGGAAGAGAGGAATGGAAGGACGGATGGAGAGGAGGAAGAGAGGAATAAATGACTATCCTGTGATGGATGAACGGGCGGTATCGTGGGATTTAGGTTATTGTTTTATTAAGAACAGGAATTCAGGTATAGCTCCACAATAGCTTTGGTATAAAAACTGTACAGATGTTTGCAGAGTTGGTCAGGTTCTTTGAAAATACTTAATGGTTGTAGCTCTGTGAGGGCTACAGAGACTGCAGCTTCTATCATTGGATGTTCTGGGTTTTTTTTTTTTTCATTTCTTGCAGTGTATGATAGCACAGCACTCTACAGATTAGCACCAGTAATACATTTTCATTTTTTTTTCGAGACAGGGTTTCTCTGTATTGTTTTGGAGGCTGTCCTGGAACTTGCTCTGTAGACCAGGCTAGTCTCAAGCTCACAGAGATCCGCCTGCCTCTGCCTCCCGAGTGCTAGGATTAAAGGCGTGTGCCACCAACACCCTGCACATTTTGAATTTTTTAGAATGTTGCTTTCATTTTTTGTTGTGGTTAAATTTTGTGATAGGATTATAAAAGTTATAAAAATCTGAAGTGATCAGAGTGGTAAGTACCTATGAGTGGTACTTGGAAGACGAGACAGGAGCCTCACTACGAGCATGGAGTGGGAAATTAGCTTGAGCAGCATAGTGAGATCAATATATATTTGGTTTTTCAAGACAAGGTTTCTCTGTATGGTTTTGGAGGCTGTCTTGGAACTCGCTTTGGCCTTTAACTCAGAGATCCACCTGCCTCTGCCTCCTGAGTGCTGGGATTAAAGGCATGCGCCACCAACGCCCGGCCCAGATCACCATCTTTTTAAAAACACCTAATACCTGCCTGTATTCCCAGCAGGAGAATAGGAGAATCAGAGTTTAGGGCCAGCCTGGGATACCCTGTCTCAAAACAACAAAACAAGGCGCTAGAGGGATAAGCTCAGCAATTAATAGCATGTATGCTTTTAAAATTTGTATGTATTTTTATTTTATGTGCACTAATGTTTCGCCTGCATGTATATCTGTGTGAGGGTGTAGGAGCCCCTGGAACTGGAGCTACAGACAGGTGTGAGCTGCCTTGTTGGTGCTGGGAATTAAACCTGGGTCCTTTGGAAGACCAGTCAGTGCTCTTAACCATGGAGTCATCTCTCCAGCCTCCTGAGCATGTACTACTTTGAAGAGGATCCAAATGTAATCAAAATGTCTCCAAAATCATACACACAATTAAAATACTATTCAAAAATACGATTTACTTGACTTATCCTTTTCCTTTTTTAAAAAAGGTTTCAGTTTGTGGCACTGGCTGGCCTTAAATTCAGAGATACACCTTCTCTGCCTCTGGAGTGCGAGGATTAAGGGCATTTACCACTATGTCTAGCCTATTACTTTTATAACAACTATTCTGAAAGCTGGAGAGATAACTCCAGAGATTAAGAGCACTTATTGTAGATGGAGTTTCTGTCCTGTCTGGTCTGCCAGCTGTTTAGTCCCAAATAAATACACAGATGGTTGTATTAATTATAAACTGGTTGGTTTATGGCTCAGGCAAACCTGGTCTACAATTTATTTTTGCAGAGGACCTGGGTTCAATTCCCAGGACCCATGTGGTAGCTCACAACTGTCTGTAACTCAGGTCCAGAGTAATTGGAACCCTTTCTGGCCTCCCTCGGCACCAGGCATGCAGATAGTGTAAGGCACACATGTTGCCTACACATATGTCCAGGCAGCACACTAATACACATAAAAATAATAAATTAGACTGCCTCAAAACAAGTGAGATTTATTAGAATGTACTGTAAAGCTTAATAGTGAAAATTTTAGGGTTATAACATTTGAAACTTGGACAGAACAGGAATGGTTCATTAAATCTGTGGTTTCCAAACTCAGGCACTGGGTCTTTAGAGAATTTTCATCACCAGTAACATGTCAATGTTTAGCTTACAATTTCATGAGTTACTATTATCATAAGATGAAGGTGAAAACACTGAGAAGTTGCTACCCAGCTAATAATGGTTAAAGACAAAAATGAAAACTCTGCTAGTTTCAGATTCTGGTTTTGCTCTTTTCCTCCCAAGTTTGGTTCTTGGATCTGGAAGGGGCCCCTGAATTAGTAACTGTATCTCTGGGTAAAGCCAAAGCCAAGTCAGTTTGGAAAGCAACCTGTGAAATCCACTTCCTTTACACAGATGGCTAGTTCCTTACCCAAGCCTTAGAAAGAATCGTTCCTATGGCTGCTCAAATGAGTCAGTGCTCTTCCATTTGACTGGCAGTCAACCTGCTTTGAGCAGGCTTCACGGTTCTTCCAGTACAAAGCCTAAGGAACGGGCAGACTTAAGAAAAATCTGTCTCCAAGGCACACCTAAGGGCACATACGGGAAGCCGGCAATGAGGTATTTAAAAAACAGCTGTTTAAACCTAAAACTTGAGCTTTTCCAACTATTTTATTGGTTCTTCTCCCCGAAGCTATATTTTAATCTTGTTGACTTTGGCCTGTTAAAGCCTTGTGAGACTGTTTTTGAACTTTGATTCTGGTGTCACTGTCTTTCCAAATGGCTCATCCTGAAAGACACCAGGTTTTGCTGACACAGAGATGAAGGGTGTTTTGAGAAGCAAAATTACTGTTACTTTTTTGGTACTGTTTGGTAGGGTTATCTGCTCAGAACAGATGCAATCTGGTTGAAAAGTGAATGTAGGCGAATGAACAACTCCAGCCACTGAAGATGATAGTGCTGAAGCAGGTAACAGAGACTTAAACACAAGGAGTGGAGACATCGAGAACTGGGCTCAGAGGGACTGAATACTTGCATGTAGGGCCAAATGGGCTGGAGGACACCTTCAAAGTTGATGCACACAACTCGTCTAGAGGCGGGAAATCACAGAAAAACAGACCACATGGAACGACGATTAGGGAACATGAAGAGGAGGTAAATGATCTTTGAACACGTGGAAATTCATTGTAAAATGAAAGCCAAAATATACAAAATGGGACAAACTTTTTTTTAACTCTCCATTCTTACCATGCATCTACAAAAAAAAAAGTTACTGAGTACATCTAAGTTTCTTTTGACTGAGTTATTGAGGTGCTGCCCAAGACTGTCAGGTCGGCTAAGGATTTCTGCCCCGAAAAGCGGTGCCTTCGAATCTGCAGTGTTCTAGTTTGCTGAAAACAGAAGTTACACACCAAATAACACCTTTTGCCCAGATGATGAACTAACTGAAAATTTTTTCCTCGCTCGTTCAGGGAATTAGACGGCAGATCTGAACCGGGATTTTAAAACGCCCACCTCCAATCAGGTGTGGGGTTAAAAATCTACTTTCTGCCTTTAATCCCAGCACTCGGGAGGCAGAGGCAGGTGGATCTCTGTGAGTTCGAGGCCAGCCTGGTCTACAGAGCTAGTTCCAGGACAGCCTCCAAAACAATACAGAGAAACCCTGTCTCGAAAAAACCAAAAAAACAAAACAAACAAAAAAAAAAGTGACACTGATCCATGCCATCCCAGGCCGGAATCGCTAAATTCCAAGTGCATCCAAAATTGAACCTTACGGAAATTAAAAGTTTAAAAGGATAAGCCCACTTTAGTTTGTAGGAAGTGTTAGAGAGGGAGACACACACAGACAGACAACACACACACATACACGCTTTTGGCAGGAGACAGACAGACAGACAGACAGACACAGACAGACAGACACACACACACACACACACACACACACACACGCTGGGCCTGCAGGTAGGAAGGGGGTCGGGGGGGAGAGAGAGAGGCGCGTTTCCCGCCTCCTCTGGAGTCTGCGCTGATGTTTTTTTTGGGGTGTGTGTGTGACACCGCCTCAGGTTCAACTCCAGGACCTCGAGACGACGACACCCGGGCTCCGGCGGGGCTGCGGTCGGTCGTTCCGCGTCGAGCTCCCGGGATATGCGCGCAGGAAGAAGGGGCCAGGGGGAGGCCGAAGCCCCCCCTTCTCCCACGGCCGCTTCCGGAAGTTTCCTCAGGGGCCGGAGCACCCCCAGCCTCTCCCCCCGACCCGCCCAGCCCCACCACGAGAAGTCCGAAGTGGCGGGAAGGAAGCCGCAGACTTGAGAGGGACGACCCGACGCGAGGGCGGCGGGAAAACCTGGCGGAGGATCCGGCGCGTCCGGCCGGTGCCCGGGGCTCGGCGTTCAGGAAAGCCCGGGTGGAGGCGGGTGGGTGTCATGGCCTAGCAGGGAGGCTCGGCCGCGCCGAGCGGGGCCTACGCCGCCGAGGAGGCGCTACCCGGGCCCGCGGGAGGTAGGTAGGCTTGGGATTTTAGGTTTTTTTTCTTGGCGCCCCCTCCCATGCCGCCGCCGGCCCGGCGATGGCGGCGACGGTTCCTCGGCTCTCCCTTCCCCCCCGCCCGCCCCGGACGCCGATGGCGGTGCGTTCCGGCCTTCCCTCCTCCCTCCCTCCCTCCTCCCTCCCCGCCCAACAGCTTTGCCCCGTGGTCGCCAGAGCCGGTGAAGCCGGGAGGGCGGGGAGCGGCGGCGGAGGGACGGCGAGAGGGCGGAGGTTGCGTGGTGCAGGCGGCGGCGGCGGCGGGAGGAGGAGGAGGAGGAGGGCCGGGCAGGCGGGCAGAGGAGGAGGAGGAGGAGCGGGCGCCGTGTCGCACGCAGCTCCAGGCGGGGCAGCCCGGGCGCTGAGGGACGCGGCCAGACCTCGGCGGGGCCCCGCGAGCACTACACGCCGTCGCCCGAGCGTCGGGGGGCGCCCGGAGATGCGGGTGAGTAGCGGCTCGGACCGCGGCGGTGGCCGGGGGAGGAGGCGGCGGCGGCGGCGGAGGGAGGCAGCGCAGGCCCGGGCCAGAGCCGCGGCGTCGCAGTAGTGACTCGGGCCGCGGCGGCCGAGCCCCCGGCTGCCCGGCCGGCTGCGAGGCCTGAGGCGCCGCGGCCGGGCGGAATGGCGGCCGGGGCCCGGGAAGAAGTCGTGGGCGTAGTAGGACGCCGAGGGCGGAGCGGAACGGAGCCGGCAGGGCCCGGTCCTGAGTCACCCCCTGGCCGGCCGGGCTCGGCCTGGGCCCCAGGACTCGGCGGGGGCCAGGCCCGGGGCTACGCACCGGGCACTGGGGGAGGAGGGGGAGCCGGACTCACGGCGCGCGGCCTGTGGCGCCGGCCTCCGCACCGCGCGCGCCTTCCCCTCCCTTCCCCTCGGCCCTGTGGGTTCCGTTTCGACCCGGGCGGCCCTGAAGCCGCCGCGGTGCTCGTGCTCTCGGTGTCTGTGTGTGTGAGGGGGGAGCCGGGGCTCGCATTGTTGCGACGGTGCGGGGTAGTGATTAGGATTGGGTAACCGGGGAGCCTCGGGCTCCGTCCTCTCCGGGAGCGTGGCCCCGGGCAGGCGCTCAGGGATGCGCTGTGCTTTTCTTTTTCCTTTTTTTAATATCTTCTTCTCCCCCCCCCGCCTCCTCCCCTAAAGCGCACGGAGCCCCGGGGCGTCCGCCAGCGCTGTGGAGTCGGCCTGGGCCCTGCGCGGCGGCGGCGGCGGCTGCGGCCTCGGCGCGCCCCCGGGCCCGGCGGGAGCGAGCGCTCTGACCCCCCCTCCCCTCCCCCCAAAGGTAACCGGGCGCCCGGGCCAGGCGGACCGAGTCCGGGGCGCTGGGGCGCGGGGGGTTTGTCCCGTGGCCCGGGGCTCGCGCTCCTCCTTAGTCTTAAACGCCCCGCGTGGTCCCGGACGCCCCCTCCCCACCCCCGTCCCCTGTGCGCTAAATGAGAGAGCCCGGTGCTCAACGCACGACTTAACTCCCCGAGCCTAATCTCCGAAGTTAGGGGAGCCAAAGAGGTCTGCCAAAAAGATCTCCTTCCCCCCACTCCTTCCTTCCGACGAGGTCACCGTTGGTGCTTGGAGTTAGTTCGAAGTCGTTGGCTGGTGGGGGGGGGGAAGCACGCATGCAGAAACGCCGTGGAGTTGTTCAAGTCTTTAGTCACTGAGTTGTGTGTACTTCCTTGGCTCTTTGCTGGAGTGTCATTAAAACAGCCGGAGGCTAACACTGGGATAAGTGGTCACGGTTTTAGAAAGGCAACTTTCCCGGGGTGACAGAAGAGGACCTAAGATTCCCCCCCCCCTTTTTTTTTAAAGTTTCTAGGACCTCAGCTTAACACAACTGAAGAAGCGAGTGCGGTTTAAGAAAATAAGGATATGGGGTTTTCCTTGGTTTGGAAAGGTTTCAAGGTGTTAGGTTTTACTTTTACTTAAAATTTATGTTTGTTGCTTCCCATAGTAAGTTGAGCACTTATGTCTCAATTTAAATTCTGAGTATGCAAACACAAGACTGACCTGTTTTATCTCTTGTTATGCCCATTTTTTTTTTTTGGAAGTTTTGGGGGAGCGCTTATTAAGTCCGGGAGGAAAGGCTGAATGAACTGCTTTGTAAAAATGTTAACCTTTTCCCTTTCCTCCCCTCATTATCATCAGCTGTAAAAAAAACTATTTTGCTAAAAAAAAAAAAAACCAACCAACTTTAGATATGCTAGGATGTTTTATCAGTTTGCAAACTGTCTTTCCTGAGCCTTGTGGTCAGGCCCTGGTAGGTGTGGCCCGATTTGCTAATGTGCCACATACATCTGGGCTGATTTGGCCAGGTGTCTTTAGACACAACGCAGACTCTGTTGTTCTAGGGAACTCCACCTTCTTACCCTATTTAATTTTGTCCACGAAAGCTTATTGCCCATACATTTTGACTATGAGAGCATTAACGACAAGGGAATAAGTACTTTGTATCCCTTAAATAACATAGAACATGATCTTGGTGGTACCTTGCATCAAGTTTTTGGACTAAGTTAATCCTAGGGTTTTACTACTGAGTACCCCGAATTTTAGTTGCAGAAAACATAGTCCTGTTGAGCTGGTTAAGAGTGGAAACTTTAACCGGGTGTTGGTGGCGCATGCATTTAATCCTAGCACTAGGGAGGCAGAGGCAGGCAGATCTCTGTGAGTTCAGGGCCAGCCTGGTCCACAGATCGAGTTCCAGGACAACCTCCAAAACAATACAGAGAAACCCTGTCTCGAAAAACAAAACAAAAAAGAGTACACACTTAATAATAACGTTGCATGCTTCTCTATAGTGGAATTTGTCATCTTTCTTGTGTCTCTCCCTCCACCCCCATAACTAGTTACTGTGTCCTTGTGGAAAACCAAACAGTGTGAAATAATTCTAGTTTAAGGGGTCACTACTTAGACTTTTGAGTTATTTATTTATTGATGGAAACTTGCTTTTATCTCTTTGCCTTTGAAGTAAAGCAGGTTAGTATTTAAGGCTGTTTCCTACTGGGATGAAGTGTCTTGTGAGATACTTCAGTATGGAAAGTGAAGTTAAAGGAACATGTTTTAAATCAAGCAGAATTACTTGGCCCCCAAAAGTTATGAATTACTTGCAGTTTGAACCCTCTGTAAGTTCCAAAGTATAGTCTTTCTACCCTTACCGATAAGATCATAGGATAAGTTGTTTTTGAGAATCAGTGGTTTCATTTTGAAATTATTTTTTAGATATTACTGAAGAGAAAGCTGTTAACCATCTATTTTAAGGGACAGCTCTACATTCATTTTCTTACTGTGTGTAAGCAGACATCCTTGCGTGTGCATGAACCACAGTACACATATGTAAGCACCATAGCACAGTAGTCTACGTAACTCTAGCTTGTGGGTCCCAGGGACAAACTCAGTCATTGAAGTCTTGGCAGGAAGCACCTAAGGTGGTCTTTAAAGTGATGCCATCTAGGTTTTCTTTAAGCTCCTAAAGTGTGCAGATTCCATGGGAATGTCATAACTTTTAAACAAAGCAGTGGACATTGGAGAACTACCTTATAAAACATAGCATACCATTGATGTTTGACCATCGGAATTCTAAAAAGCCCATGTTTGATAGTATTTAATGTTTCCCTTGGAACCTGAACAGAAGAAAGGTACTTCTGCTCTCCTGCTTCCACTCAGGCTCACCTTGATTGCATTCCATTGTGTTCTGTGTGAACTTCATGCCTTCCTTTCCTTATTACCCTTGTCAGCGGAGGCTTCTCCATCTCAGGAGAGCTGGCCCTGCTGTCCTGTCTAGAAGCTGGCCCTGGTCTTCATGATGTCCGTCTGTCTCTGAGTGCTTAACCTTCTGATGACACTTGGTGGTTTCTTCCACTAGACTGACCTTTACCCAGGGACAGGGAAGAACAAATCTGACGCTAGTACCTAGCACAATGCTCATGTCAACATTCATGTACATCCTTCCATTTCAAATCTTCCCAAAGCCTGTGAAATTTAAGTACTGACTTAACCCTCCTTGTAGAAAAAAAGAAGGGTCCTGGACTTCGTGTAGTTTCCATCAGAGCTAAGAAGGTATAAAGAAAGCCCCAGGTGGGAGGTTAGAGCAAGATGGTGGTCTTGGAGAGTAACTTTAACTTTTGTTGTTGTTTGTTTTCGTTTTTTTTTTTTTTTTTTTTTTTTGGTTTTTCTAGACAGGGTTTCTCTGTATTGTTTTGGAGGCTGTCCTGTAACTCTTTTAGCTCTGTAGCTCTGTAGACCAGGCTGGCCTTGAACTCACAGAGATCTGCCTGCCTCTGCCTCTCGAGTGTTGGGATTAAAGGTGTGTGCCACCAACACCCGGCCTAACTTTAACTTTTAACCAAGGATTCACCCTGAAAGTCTGATTTATATGAAATAGAAAGATTAGTAGAGACTAAAGTGAGAGCACTTTTAAGGATTGATGTCTGATCATCAACGGAATACATCATATATAACTTCTAGCAGGGGCAGGGGCAGGTGGGTCTTTGTGAGCTCAAGGCCAGCCTGGTCTACGAGTTGAGTTCCAGGACAGCCAGGGCTGACAGAGAAACTCTGACTCAAAAGAAAAAAAAAAGATAAAAGAGAAGGAAAAAGAAAACACTGGAGAGTACTGATAGTGTAGACATGAACAGTTGTGGAACTTTGGGGCTATTGTTAAATTGAGTGTGATGTTATGATTCGTTGACCTTCAAAAAAATTTAAAAACCAATTAATAAGCTAGCATTATTTTAAAGGCCTGTGTCAGAAAGTACTTTAGAAAACAGACTGCCAATTTTAAGTCTGTATAAAGCATGCACTGGTATAAGTAATTAAAGTTGTAAAATGGTGGTGATTTTAGGTGAAATTGTGTGCTTTTACAAATTTTTTAGAAAAAAAACTAGTAACCAAAAAAATAATTTCAAGTCTCAGTAGAGAAATTTCGTACCAGAAAATATAGACCTTAAAGAAGATGGTTCAGTTACTTTAGAATTGTAAAACTTCCTTATGATAAAACATTATAAACAGATAAATGGCAAATGACAAACTAAAAAATGTTTTTACAAGCAAATTTAATGTTTAGACTATCAAAGAGGGCTTGCAAACTAAAGGAAAAGAAAAATTTCTTCACATGGCAAAAAAGGGCAGACTAGAGAAGAAAACGTGAGAAATCTGGGATGTGTTACAATAAGCCACTTCTGTTGAGAAGCTGGGGACGCATGCCCACTCATTGCTAGAAAGAATCTAAGTAAATACAGTTTTAAAAGACTTTTCATGTATGGGGGTTTACTTGCATGTACACGTATGTACCATATGTGTGCCTGGTTCTCAGAGACCGGACCTGGTGACCACAGAGGCTAAAAGAGAGCATTGGGTCTCCTAAACCTGGAGTCACAAGCCACCATGTTGGTTTTGGAAACTGATCCTGAGTCCTCAGAAAATGCTCTTAACTGCTGAGCCATCTCTTTAGTCCCAAAGAAATAC